GATATATATATATATATATATATATATATATATATATATATATACTGTGTATATATATATATTAGGTTTTCATAACCATAATCCTCATCACAAATGATATATATATATATATATATATATATATATATATATATATATACTGTGTATATATATATATTAGGTTTTCATAACCATAATCCTCATCACAAATGATTGGGAAAAACATGGAAATTAACTGGTAAAATCTGGGCTTGTGGCATTTCACGATTCAGTTTTGCCCTCTTCTATTCATTATATCACTGTCCCTATTAATAAAAGTGACAAAAAGGCCAAAAATAAAAGGCTATAATTTACATTCTCTCTCATAACCTCTTCATTCTTTTTAAGTCCCCTAGCATGAATACCCAGGTATTTTTTATCAGATATAAGCCATGTTTGAGTTAGCAGATATGTTTTTATTTCAGAAATAAGGGGATAAAGTGAATTTACTAACATCAGGACATGTGAGATCTGTTGAATTATGGGAGATATTTGAGCTAAAACACACAGACTGATGTTTGACTATACAAACAGAGACACAGATACTGTATTTTGAGCCACGTTCACATATGTTTCATCCTGTAGACCAGTGGTTCTCAACCTTTTTTCCTCTGGGCCGCACTATGGTCCAAGTGCAAGTCTCACCCGCACGCGTATCATTTACATATTACGTCACCAATACAAACCAACCAGATTTATAATATTACAGCCTAAATATTATGATATCTACTCGATTACATTCATTGAAATAAATAAATAAATAATTCTACTCACCATTAATAAAACACCTGATGCTGTCGGGAGCTGACCAATTTTGTGAAATTCGGCTCGAAAAGAGTAACAGCACAATGAAGTTGCGATTGTAAATTACAGTCTGTAAGAAGCGCACGGAAGCGTGACTTACATTTACATTTAGTCTTTTTGCAGACGCTTTTATCCAAAGCAACTTACAGTTGGGGAATACATAAAGCAATTCTTCTTAAAGAGGCAAACAGACACAGGAAGTGCTTGTAATACCAAGTTTTAGGTATTGTTCAAATAAGTACAAGCTAGAAAGGGAAGGAATAAATAAAAAGACAATTTTTTATTTTTCGACATTGCAGAAAATGTGCATTCACAAATGTAGCCTATGTTGATCCAAATATGGAAAGCACTTTAGAATTTAATAATCTGAGGTTCTCTCCCGAGATGATTCGCCACATTTCTGCGATTAAGGATGATTGCTGCGTAGTTTGGGTGTTTCCTTTTGCCTGATCATCTTCAAGTGAGTGGCGGGGCAAACCGAAAGTTGATGCCGAAGTCCAGCACTCTCTTACCTTCACTGCTGATGCTGCCACTATTCTTGTTTGTATGTGTTTCTTCGCTGGCATTTTCCACATTTTGTTTTTTCTCCCTTAAATAACAAATTTGTCCATTCTGATGCTCAATTTTACCGAACTAATGGCTGCTGATGACTATTTGAATTGAATTCTGCCAAAGTGCGCGCTTGTAATTGTTCATTAAATGCGTAACGTTAATTAGCCTACATCTGCTCATGTCTGAAAATAATATATGAAAAACAAAATTATTTTATATAACAAAAACATTATAGCTTATATTTGTTTAGTACATTTTTAAATTAATGTAAAAACTAAAATGAATTGTAAAACTGAAAGTTATTTTTAAAATTGTGTTCAACATGGTGGGCCACATTTGAATTCGTGACGGGCCGAGGGTTGAG